GGGGTTACTCAGCTCAAAGGCAGACCGTTAGAGAGCAGGCAGCAGAGCAGTAAGCGGAGGGGGGTGCTGAGTAATGCAGGTGGTTGTGTATATCTAGGTGGCTGAGCCTGAATTCAGGTGTGAAAATAACACAAAACCAGGTGCATACAAGGGAGAGTAGAGAGAGAAGATGAGATTAAAAGAAAGTGTGGTTGTTGCCTCTCCACCTGGCCATAAAGCAGTACCCCTCCTCCCTCCACTGAGGCCTTTGTTTCACGGCTAATGGTCCAGGTTAATTGCACAGGTGACTTTCTGTGGGGGAACAGATGGGCTCAAATGTGTTCAAAAACAATCTGCAGCAAGCAGGGAGAAAAAAAAAAGGAAAAGAAAAGAAAAAAATAGGAATGAGTTGTTCTTTCCTCTTCATTCTTCCGTTTCTTTCTCATCATCTCTACTGGAGTCATGGAGGGTGACTGGGGTGAGGTTAAACTCTAACTGTGTTCTTCTCTCACAGTGGTTTCAATTTATCAAGCACAAGGCCTGTAAGCTCTCATTAGATCTCATTACAGTGCAAATTAGACTCAGGAATTTGCTAGTGGAAGGATAGCGGATAGTAGTGGATAATAGACATCTCTCCGGCGCCTGATTTTGTCAAACACTTTGATTTGGAAAGGGAGGAGAACGCTGTGATTACATGAGTGCAGAGGAAACTGTACATATTTCTGATTGATTAAAATGTCTTCCTATATGAAAATTTGTTTTGGATGCTTTTGCCATTATATGCTCAGTCTTTTCCACTAACATGCCACCGTTGCTGCTAGTTTCACTCGCGGCATATATAATTTGCCATCATATTAGAAACCCATGCGTGCTAGACAGAAGCTTCTGGAATTCTAAGAATTATTTGTCTCTCTTTTCCCTCATGAATCACGATGGCTGCATGTGAGCCATCAGAAATTGAGTTCTCAATCGATCCACTGTGTTTTTTCTCTCCAGCACAACATGCAGGAGATGACAGATAGCAAATTGAATTTATGAACAGGCTTTGTTGATACTGCTGTATAATTATAGGAATACAGTGCCTTTGGTGTTTAAAAAGAGAGCCTAGTGTTTAATTCAAAAACATACAAGGTTTAATGCTTGAATGATTGAGCGAAAAGCTTTGTCACGTTTTTTGAGGTGACAGCTGTTCTTTTACTTTGCTTTACATATTCTGTGTGCTGTTGACGAGTGGTTTTAATTAGCAGAAGTAAAGGAATGAAATGTTGTGTGTTACATTGTGTGGCACGGTATGTGAGTTCATTCGTTTGGTTCCTCACTGCTCTTAGACTGACAATTAAGAGTTTTATGGAATCTTCAGCATGCATTGGTTTTTTAAAAGACTCGGCTAGAAAGCTGTCTCGTGTGACTGCTTTTGCCGAGAGCGGCCGTGAGCAGAGGTCATCCTCTTGACATTAGCCGAAGTATGCCCTCAATCTCCGTTTCTCTAGCTGTCCATTCATTTCTCTCACTGTCATTGTCTGTCAAACCTGCACACACTCAAGTCGAGAAATGTGTATGAAACATTTAGATCATCTAAGTAGAGCCAATACGCCAATGCGAGGATAAAACGTGCATTTGTTTCACTTGAGATGTGTAGGCATGTTTTAACTATTGCTGAAGGTCTGTGCGCTTGTGCTCACATACTGCGGTGTATGTTTTAGAAATAATTGAATGTCAACGGGCTCCGGTTGTCAAGTATTCAGGAAGGTGTTTTATGACCTTGTGTCTTGCCTTGCTCCACTAGTTCCTCTCAATAACCCACTCCACAGCACGAACCGCCGCACCCACAGAAACTCCTCACTTTTCTCCTGTGCTGCCTTCAGTGCACTGTCTTTGTCTCTAAGTTCTTCCTCCTCTTTTATTCTTTCCTTTGCATCTTTCTTCACTGACTGGTGACACTTAACAGCATCTGAGCTAATTCTTTTTCCTCCCTCTCACTTTCCTTCTATTGCTTGTCGACATTTGACTTAGTGTTCTGCTCCTGGGATTGGTGAATGGTGCGTCGCAGCTGCTTTCTTACTGTAGTTTTTGTGGGTTTTTTTTTCTTTTTTCTTTTTTTCTGTTAGGGAAAAACTAATCTAATGTGTGAAGTTTTTATGCCAATCCTGCTGAGAGCACATCGCTTCTGTTATCCCTCCTAATTAGAAAATGTGATACTGCTGCTTGTAAATATATATGGCAGATTGAAACAATCCCCTGGGCTCACAGTTACATTTGGCACAGCCTCGGGGTCCAGGTACCACCAGATACTCAGGTAAAGGATTGAGAGGCGGTAGGGGTGGGGGATTGGAAGTAGGCAGGGATCAAAGCGAAAGATATAGAACAGGTACATCATCTCTCTCTGGAAGCTAGAGTTTTACTGGGCTTTATTCCTGCTCTTAAAGGTTTAACTGTTTAAGAAAATACCTAAAAGTGCAAAAGCCACAACCATGTTCCACACTTCCACAAGCTTTAATAAGATCATTAAAGGACCCCAAGGCTGTCTGTTGAGGTGCCCACCAAGGTGTTTCATCACTGGAAGGGTTAGTCAATGTCTTGGGTCTTAGCCCATCTTAACCCATTTAGAAAGCAATTTCCTGTGAGCAGAGGGGATCTTTCCTCCTGAGAAAGATCTTTGGGCATGAAAGGTTAGCTTTTCTGTAATTCCCCACCCTGCAATGTACCAGTGCTGCTAATGAGAAGCAGATGAATATTTGCCTTAGGTTTAACAGCTCAAAATAAGATGAGTGAATTGCAGGAATGAGGCAGAAATGTCTGCTAAAGTGGGCAATGTTACAATAAGTAAGGAAGAAAGTTTGCTTTAAGGATTACTGGAATAAGTGTAGTCAAATAGTATTCATTTCCCCCCCTTGCTAAATGCTTACCTTGTCTTTGCAGATTTGTAAAATATATATACATATGTTTTTATGTTAATAGGTTCATACATTCTGAAGGTTCATTTGTGAACATTTCTTGCTGAGAGGAAGGCCTGCTCGTGTTTAAGCTTTGGACAGCTTAGGACATAGTTAATTGAGCACTGTGAGGTGACTGGGGAGTATGCTTCCCATTTTAGTCATTTTAGTTCTTTGTGTCTGCAGTTCTTCCCCTGAACCCCAGTCTTCTAGGGCTCCCAAGTCCTGGCCATTACAAATGATGAATTGTGCTACTGTTAAGCTAGAAGTAGGACAAATTGATCAAAGTGTCAGGTGCCCCCTGTGATGTTTAGGTCTCCATGAAGAAGGCAGTGAAGAAGGAGCTGTCAAAAAGTTTCTTGTACCACGGTGGTTGTAGATAAATGTTTACCTGCCACTTAACACCTTCTGCCTTCTGTCAGACTCACAATGTGTCCTTGCTAGCCTACATAAGAAAGAGTAGCTAAAGATCTTGGGAGTTGATACAGTTATAGAAGCTGCAAGTTGTTCACCATATTGTTCTTCAGGTCCACAGGAGACGAAACCCATGCTCCCCCTTTTAAACCAATGAGCTTGCTATCTGAGGTGTAGTGCTGCAATTTGAGATAAGCACTACTTGGCTCAGCTTTGGTTTTGTTCTGATAAAGCTGGTCTAATTAAGCTTGATTTAATCGGGATTGCTTTTAAGCACAGCACACAGCCGGAACAGATACTTTGATTTCAAAGTAGCCCTTGGGAAGGACTTGAGGAAGAAAGAGAAGGAATGAGATAGAGAGTAAAATTAGTGAGTATGACTGAAGAGTTGCTTTTTTAGAATTTGCATAAGACATGTTTCTATTCTTAGTTGTACTGTCTTCTTTTACTTGCATGAATGACTGCCGGTTGGGTGGTTTGTTGCTTGAGGTAGAGGGAAAAGTTGTGCAGATCTGACTTTCTCTTATAATAGCAAGATATGTGCCATTTCTTTAAATCAATCGGTACCATTCTGTGTCACTGTGGTTTGTACACAAATTGAAATTGCCCTACTGTGTTTCTTTGAGCACACGCAGGTAACAAAAGATTGATCACCCCAGTACTTGTAAAAGTGCTGTGTGCTGAAAGTAGCAGTTGTCCACTTATTTTTTGAATGTTTCCCTTCAGCTATAGCTGTAAGCACAATGCCGAAACAAGTCGCCTGGACCCTGATGGTAAACACTGGGGAAGAGCTAGTTCACTCATATATGCAAAAGAATTGATGGCCAAGTCTCCAGCTCCACAATAACTCACCCTAATGATCCTAGTTTAAAATAATGTCTGTTCTGGACCAGAATGATAAAAAGGGTGCCCCTCTGACTCATTAGTATTAGGGCATAAAGATAGATGACCCAGATATAGAACCTAAGCTTATTTTTGAACCCTGTTACCATTGAGCTGTATGCTGCTTGTGCACAGCCTAGGTACAGCTAGTTGTGCTGTTGGCTTTATAGCATGTAGAGTGTCTCATACCTATCTCTTAAGCCATGCTGACTGCCTCCACTTCTCTGGTTTCATGGATCCACACGACAGCTGGAACGGTGGGCAGAGGGAATGTTTTTCGAAGGCCGGTCCCGGTGTCATTGACTGAACAATGATAGAGCGCCCGGGTATTGAGCGGCTCCACACTAAATCTTTGTAAAGAGCACTTAGCTCCCCAGCGTTAGCCACAGAAAGAATATCTGTCAATGACCATCACTGGATGCTTTCATCCTGAGGCTCCTCTAAACTCTAAACTAAACTCTAAGTGTATTTTCCTCCTCCCCAGCTGTTTACTGAAAAAAAGCTCTGGCCTGAATGACAGGCCTCTGTCTCAACACTCATACACTTGCAAGGATTGTTTGTAGCTCATTCAGAACAAATTACTCTCTCATTGTGATGTAAGGTGATTGTTAATGCACCAGTAGCAGGCGTCCTCACCCAACACCTAAAATTTGATCTTGAAGCAGTCATGCAAGTCTGTGTGTACATTTTTACGAGCACATGTGAAGACTACATCATTTTGTATGTCCTCTAGCTTTATTTTTTTTTATTTTGTTCTCTAAACATATTTGCTACTGTTGTGTTCTCTTGCAGAAGGAGACGAAACTGGTGTAATGGATAGTCTAATGGAAGCTCTACAGTCCGGAGCAGCCTTCCGTGATCGACGAAAACGGACACCACGCAACGGTAGGCAGCGAAAAACACTATTATGTCCCATAGTAGAATGTTATGTAATTTTTATTAATCTCTGTTGTCTGTAACACATTTGGCAGCTGTTTATCATGCAGGGAAACTCTGCTCTTGAATTTAAATTATGTCTATTGGTGTGCTAGTACTCCACTGACTCTGACACTGAAGTATTCATGACATATCAACACATGTAGAAACATATGTACATTTAAACAGGGGCCACAAAAACAACCACACATGTATACAAGCGCAGGTTTATTAGAAATGTGCCATCCCTTTCCCATCATAAAGAACTCAGCATTAGGACTGGGCTAATTCAGTGTAATTCTGGTGTTAGCATATTCCATTCTGCCAAGATAAATGGACCATGCACCACGGAGTAGCACCTCGTAGGGGTGCCAGGGTCAATTGATATTCAAGTCAGAGTTCAGTAGAAGATTCACAGGTGCTGCCATGTCAGGAAAAAGTAGGACAAAATCAGTCACTGAGTGGTTTATATGATTTTGCGACAGGCAAGCTGCACACAGCAAAGCAAGTAGTAAAAAAGGCCAAAAGTGTAGAATAGAAGTGAGTACACCCCAATATCCCTTAAATATTGATCATTCAAAATTGCTTCACCTTTATTTCTATATTTCAAAGTAAAGTATTTTGACTTTTAATTTTTTTATTATTCTGATGATGATTTAGAGCTAAAATACATTAGAGTCTGTCCCACAATAAACAAGAGGTGTATTTATCAGTGAGTGCCAGCATTCTGTCTGCATTGATCCTTGAAAAACATCAACCGCTATAGATGGCATTCAAGAAAGAAAAACCTCAATTGCCATTCAGCACAAATCTTCAAGATGAAAGGACATGAAAAGAAGCGTGATGAATATTGGAGCACATTCTTTGGTTAGATGAGACCAAGATAAATTTGTCCTATTGGGGCGGGGTTCAGCGTGTTGGATATGAACTTGTCCAGGACCACCACAGTGAATGCATAGTCCCTACAGTGAAGGACGGAGGTGAGAGTGTGATGATATGGCACTGCACGAGGGCAAAAAGGTGTTGGAGAGACGACATTTATAGATTGTACCATGATATATCCTGTGGATATACCAGAATACCAGCTGACAAGATGACTCTCAGTCTGCAGAGGCTTGGCAGAAGAGGAATATTCCAGCATGATAACGATCCACAGCACCCTGCCAAAATCACACAGGAATTTCTGAAGAGAAAACTTTGACCCGGCCAAGTTTGTCACCTAACTTTTATCCAATAAAACACCTCGGGTGTATTTTAAAGACATCGGCAGAGCAACACAACCCCTCCAGCAATGAGCAGCAGAAATAAATAAATAAATAGATAAATAAATAAATAAATAAATGTTCCTGCAGAATGACAGAATGTCTCTCCAGAAATGTATGCAACATTAGTATTCTCCATAATGAGCAGAATTGAGTTTGTCATCAAAAATAAAGGTGGACATACCAAGTTTTTAAAGATTAAAAGATTTGAGTCTCAGGAAAGAAAGGTGTCCAGATTTTGTTTGCATTGAATTCCTACTGTTAGTCTTTTGTAAGAGCAAACAGTTCACATTGGAAGTAGGTGATACAGTTTGGACATTTTTCAATGTAATTATTCGTATTTGTACACACATACAAGTGATGTTGCACCGGGATGTACTCACTTCTGTTTTACACTCTACATGTTCAAAGCAGAGCAGGATTTTTTTTTCCCATCTATTAAATTCAAACCTTATATATTTAGATTGTTGATAGGCAACATTACATCTACAGACATTGTAAACACACTACTCTTTTCTGCTTGCCTCCAGGTTGGCTTACTGTAGTTACAAATGTTTTAATACCAGTCACATGTAGCTTTTGTTATTGATAGCAGAATAGACAAACATATGCCTTTTTTTCTTTTTGTATTTTTTTTTAAACTGGGGAGATTAGTACTAGAATATTAGCATATGCTGCCCTGTGTGGTCATCTGTTTTTATTTGGCAGTGAAAAGGTACCTGGTTGGCATTGCCTAGACATATTGACCAGGCCCTTTCAATCTCGTCTTGGCTCACTTCCTTTTACACTCTACCAGTGGATGTATTTCCTTTTGTTCACACTCAGGTTTTTAAAAAAATAATCTGTTCTTCTTTTGCAGTGCTCACGTTTTAACTCAGTTTATACAATATATGCTAAATGCACACTGTTACCTCCTTTGTGTGACTGTCTGTCTCTGATTTCTCAACTGGAACTTCCACGGGTAAAACCAGTGTGAACCAGCGTGCATGTGTGTGTGTTCGTGTTCATAAAACAATAAATGAAATTCATTCCAAAATAAGAATTATTATATTTAAAAAAAAAAAAACTCAAATACTGCTACCTACTATTTTTTTTTATCATGAAGAGAGATCAGTAACTGAATGAAAACTTCATAAAAAAGTAATTTAAAATAATTTTCTAGTATTTTGACTTCAATACCATCTAACAGCAAAGCAACAAACATACATAACCACATATTTTCCTCTTGTTTCAACACCTGTGATGCCGTCATCAATGACCATAACCAGCTTTTTTCTTTAATTCCACCTTCTTCCATTCCATATTTATGTATTTGGGTTTAATGTGAGCCTGTGTCTGCCCAAATGTTTGTGCAGGTGTGTTAGCAAACCTGAATGGGTTTTTGCCAGACTTTGGGAGTGGTTCTGCCAATATCTGAAATGAGTCACCTCTGATGCCTTTTTCTCTTTTCCTTTTTCTCCATCCTTCCCTTCTTTTATTCTTTCTTTCATCACCAACATTGCTACAGGTGATCAAAGCCCTTCCAGTCCAGGCTCTCGGTGGCCGGGTGCTAACTATGGTAACAGAACTCTAGGTGTGTGTATTTAAGTACCTTTTTAACCCAAACACAACACCGTCTTGCTTCCTACTGCACTTCTACTGGCTGCATAACTCACACATCCTTCGTTTAGAACACTCAAGCTGGGCTGTTCTACAACATACAGAGTCCTGTGCTGAGTTCCAGTTTTCCACTCGGAAAATAATTAAATCTCCAAAGGTATGATGCATAAGGTTTACTCTTTGTCAAAAATGAATTCCGAAAGCTCTACATAGATAAGCTTACTGAATGGTTTTTAGGAACCTATCGATAGAAACATGTTTCAAAATGCATCATAGACAAAACCAACGCATGCCAAAAACTGAAAATCACAATTGGTTTTGCTTGACCTTTCATTTTGCAATGGCACATAGAAAGAGTCGAATAATTACTGATGTACGTCCGCTAGTGTTTTATAAAAGTCCTTGTAAGTAACATCTTAAGTACTGCTTGCAGTTGGTTGTGCACTCTACCTTATGGTGCTGTGTCACCCCCTAAAACTGTAACATTGTCCAAATGACCTAAGTATATAGCAATATGTTTTACAGATTGCATCAGATAACCTTTACATGCCCAGGTGATGATGCAATATTGCATCAGCTGTTACTTTCAGCAATGGGATAATGCTCTGCAAGAGATAGCTATTTCTTTCCAGTGTCAGGATGGCACCTGGTGAACATTTTGATTTAAAATGTGAACTAAGGCGACTTTAGGACTTGTAGTACCGACATAATTATCACACGGTGTTTCATTGTAAGAGATCGCAGGATATCGGTGAAGTTCATTCCAAGGTTAAAATTAAATTAAATCAAATCAAAATGCTCCGTGTTTCATGCAAGTACGCCCGTTATCCTTAATCGACAGCTGGTATGACCGCATTGTGACATTTGCTCCACAACTTCTCTTGTTTCTTCACATTAGTAATGCGAGGCCACGACTTAACTATGTCGTTCCCACGCATTAATAACTCGTGGCCACGATTTACTAATGCGTGGGAACAAGTTATTTTTATTTCTTATGGATGTCACCAGACGGGCTCCGTATGCATGTAGTGCTTCCCAGAACTTTTATATAAAGGTTGCAAATTCTCATTTTTGGATTATTCTGAGAACACCTGTTAAATATTTGTTCATTTTGCCAGACTTAATAATTTTTAATAAATAGTTGTTGTTTTTTTTCTATTTATATGATGCAGTCAATAATGTAAAATACCATCGCAAAAAAGTTTGTTTGAAAAAGTTCTATAAACAGCAGTGTACTTATTCTACCAAATACAAAAGAAAACAATATGCCCTTTTAAGTCTTTACAGGTGTAACATAACAACTTTCTCCCAGTTTCTCTGGAAACGCTTTAGAAAGCAACTTTCAGTTCAAGTCCATGGACAGAAATACACATACAAAAAGACATCCTCTGTATTCTAATTATAGAGATTAGATTAATGTCAAGACCAGAGAAGTTCTGAACAAATTCCAGGTATAGTCAGCAGTGACAAAAGTCTGCATACAGAAAAATACCTTAATGCAGGAATGAGCTCTTATACATTGTAGCGTGTTTCATCACCAGTAAAGAGTTCTTTTTGATCACATGAATATATGCAGGGGTAAACAAGAAAACTGGACTGAAGAGACCATAATGGGCATCATTGCTTGTAGTGCTGAGTGACATGATGTAAATCTTACGCTGAATACCTTTGAAATCCAATGTAGTGAAGTATAACAGCATGGGATGTATAGAAACTGTCCTTGAGGTGGCCTCTTGAGCCTGAATTTCAAATCCTGTTACATGTATAAAATCCTGATAGTGGTCATACGACTGGAACGAAATTCACTCAGCACAATTTCTGTTTTATAGAGCAGCTACAGTTGTCATCTAATTTCCATGCTCTTCCTATTATCTATGCTGTCACAGCATGATATCACTCCCTGTCTTGTGGCGATGCTGAGGAGTTATTCTGCTACAGAGATCTGTGGGCCTCAATACTTTGGCCACTCACTATGTTTTTGTGTATTACTTTACTTTTCACATATACGTGTGGTAAATGTCAAACTGATGAGCAACAGCACCCCAGATATGCCTCTTCCTGAAGGATCCTTGCCTTTTATGCTTTGCAGGCTCTCTTGCTTTTTTTATGTCTTTTCTTGTTGCTGCTGTTGCTGCATGTCCAAGTACCTGACATTGTGCAGGTGTATTCATGGATGAGAATGCATGTCAGGAGTCTGTATGGTGTGATGCTAAAACAATGAATATATTTTATTTTTCTTCTTGTAAAGTTCTTCAAACATATCAATCAAGCACTTAAAAAGAATGGCTAAAAAAAAAAGTACTTTCATAATTAATCCAAGGACAGGCCATGGCAAGCTGACACCTGGCTATGAAATTGTCTTTAAAGATGTGGAATTTTGCCTCATTGGTAGGAAGAAGCTAATGCCAGTAGTCAATATGTGAAAGTACCAATTAAATATGGTTAGGCTGGACTCTAGCACAACAGCAACTCTTGCATCAAGAACTTGGACAGGAGCTGGACAGCTTTTTCCACAGCTGTCCAGAGTGGAAATAAGGAGTGACAATTGTCTGGAAACTCATGAACCCCCAGACAAGTACTGCTATGTTTGATATTTCAAAGAACCGGAGGGTTCACAAAGGCTCTGACTGTTTGCCCCCATGTGGCATTCCCTTGGCTTGTAGTGTCAGAGCCTCTAGTAGCCTCGGTGGGTCCTTGGGAGGGCACCACCTACAACACAGCAGCTCGGCAGGGAGAGGAATAATTAGGTGGAAACGACAGGTGGGGTTCTAACATGCAGGTGAGACTTTGTTCTTTCCTGCTGAAGGTCGCTTGGCCATTTGTGTGGTACCTGAAAATTATGCATTGCCTCTTTTGTACTGGGGGCAAGTTTTTGTCCCAAGTGAAAGATTTTAATTTAAGTAAGTACCTTAATCACAGAACATAAAATGGAGCACAAGATTGACTGACACATTGTTTTAGCTCCAGTAGTGTTTTAAGTGTTGTACTGCACTTTCTTGCCAAATGTAGAGCTGAACCTAGATGTAAAGCTCCTCCTTTACCAATCTAAATACAGGCCCTGAAACTTGTTTGTTCCAGAAGGCTTTTTTTTTCTGCTAGAGAAATCTACTGGTTTGAAGAGATCGGTCCATCAGCCACATTTTTTTTTTTGCCGTGAATTCTGTGAAGTTTATATATCACCCGAATTAGACCCTGTTAAAGCTGTCGAGAAATGATCAGCTTTGTACAAGAGATAAATTTAGATGTCTATATGTAGTCAGACTATTAATGATGTAAGCCTAAGTGAAAGCTCTGTGAAATTGGCCCATGCCCATCAACACTGAGTTCTGAAAAAAAAATAAATTGTGAGTAGGACTGTCGGGTTTCTTACGCTGGATCTCTGGTTCCTCCATTAGAGATAGAGCAATCAGTAGAAGTGCAGCTAATTTGGTAGAAGGACGTCTGTTGCGGTGGTCTGTGTATGGAGACCCAGACCAGGAACTTGTTTGTGGGATCGACTGGGCAGAAGGACGTTCTTGCTGTACTATCTGCTGTGAACACCGTCCAAATTCGGATGCAATTTGGGCATCCTGTTGAGTATTGATAACAATGATTGGCCACCCTAGATTGCCACAAGATGACATTTCCAATGGCACTATATGATGTGCCACTGGATCACAGTAAAACCAAATACTGTCTGTCTTTGTTTATAAATATGATATTTATGCAGTGTTCTGTACGTCTGTGACCTATTTTCCTATTTTTGTGAGATAACCAGAGTTACGGTGGTCCTCAAGATTGTTCTATTTCCTGCTTGACATTGTGCATCAGACTCTTTTCAGCACTTTTTTTTTGTTTTGTTTTTTTCTTTCACCACGGGCACTGCTGAGCTACCAGTATGCATTATGCACTGACAGCCCTCTGTTTATTGATATGGAGCCCGGTACTGGTTTGATAAACAGCTGCATGGATTCTCTACTCTGAGGTGATGAGAGGGGAAAATCCTTTTGACATGCCGGCTCCATGGATTTTTTCATAAATGGAATCTGGAAATGAATTCAGTTGCTATAGAACATGGGGGGGAATTGTCCTTATCTAATGAAAAGGGACAAACAGAAATCTTTTCCCATAGTTTGGGGGAATTAAAAAGAAAAAAACAAAAAGCAAACTACAGTCCAAAGAGAATATAGTCACCTAGTGATGGACGATTTGCTGACAAAAGGCATCTCAGTCAGTGAAAGCTGTCTTTGGGTTGTTACTCCTGTGTGCATGGTTTGGTCAGCATTTAAAGAATGATGGTGTAACTCTTGGGTCAGCACAGCAGCATTAATGATTAAGTACTTTTGTTGTGTATATATGTGCTTTCTCTCTGACTCTCAGACTGATGGCATTTCAGTCCATTAAATTACTGTTAGAGAAGGTTCTGTGAGCAGTTATATGAGACAGAGTGCCAAATCTATTCAATTCTGCTTGTCATGTCTGTTGTAATCTCATGGTTTAAAGCTTGATTAACCTCCTGTCATCCTTAAACGAGCAACGTGTACCAGAGAGAGTCTCTCAGAGTCGCACAAGAATCTTGGCTTACGTCAAAAGGAGTTCTTTTAAACCCAGCATGCCATTCTTTGTCGTCCTTTAGGCTGAACTATACTTCAGCAGACTACCTCGAGTGTCAGGCTGAGCACAATTCTAGGTGCCGCCAATCACAATTACACCCAATCCCAGAAGCATTTCCTATTTCCTTGTCTCCACTTTGTGTAAGATGGAAAATCTAACCTGGGAGGCCTTACTCATGTGTTATGCAATTACACCAGCCATTCCTAATTCAACATACAGAAAGTGGATAGACTGATGGGGACCAGAGAGGCTACGTTACTGTTGTAGGTTCAGTCTCATTTCAGGAGAATAATTTGTATTTGTAAGTATTTTGTGCTGTTGATATCAGTTGGCTCAACACTGAGTTTGCTTTTCCTTCAATGGTGATGTTATTTTTTTGTA